GACCGATAGGCATAATACAAACTGTTTAAAGTAAAAATAAAAATAGGATGTCTATTTCAAATACCAGTATCCACATAATAACACTCTCTCTCATATAATATATATATATATCACACACACATTTCTTTTCTAATTATTTCATATAAAATCATTAAGAAAAATCCTGAAATGTATAGAATTCCCTTGTGTTATTACACAAATGCCAACCAAGCCAATTTCCTTCTCTCATGTTAAAGAAAATCATTACAAACGGTTTGCCTTTCACTTGGCAAATAAATTAGTTCAGAAGGCTTTTAACATTATCTGATTTTAAAGAATCTGCACAAGAACTATAAAATAAAAATATGAAGATTTATTATTACTTTTTGTTTCATTTAAAACTAAATGTGAAACATTTAAATTTTTAAATTCTTTTATCTGTAATTTAAACTAAAGCTGTGCTAGATTTTTGGTTTTTGACAATTTTACTACTCCCAAAATTAAATTTTCATCTTTTATTTTGTATTAAGACACGAATCTGGATGATATTTGTATTGATAAAAAAAAAAAAAAAAAAAAAAATCACCCCAAGCAAGGTGATAAAGCCACTAATACACAAGGAGCAATGGAGAGTGAATGAATCTGACCTTCCCTCCCCACAAAAAAAAAACAAAAAACAAAACAAACAAACAAACACACATTAAGGCCATTACAAAAACAGGAATTAAGAATACAGATGAAAAAAATATTTTTGCCATGACTTTAAAAAAGGAAAATATATTTAAAATATATTCCATCATTTGTGAATAGTTTCTGAAAGTTTCATTAAAATTCGACAATTATTATTTTTGTAAGATTTTAAAAATGAATGTCTGTCATACAGAAAAAAAATGCGCTAAAATTTTACATGTTATTTTACTAGTTCTGGTGATACTAAGAGAAACAAGGTTTTTTTTTAATCAAAATTTAGAATGTTCTAACAAAGGAAAATTTTTTTAAAATAATTTAAAAATACTTTGATCTTTCCTCTTAATAATAACAAACATTTAAATGCTAAAATTTTGTTTTTTGTCAAGTTTGGCATCTTTTTCATCAAGCTATGCTCTGTTTTTAGCAATCTCATGAAGGTACCTATATTGCACAAAGAATTCTAAACTAAATTCGCAATTTTATTTTAAAATTAAAATGTTACATTTTCAAAATATTGTTTACTGTAAACAATTAAAACTCAGTACCTCCAAAGAAAAGCTATATATCTAAAGTTTAAAATGCATTTAAAAAAATAAAATATATCTTTCTTGAAGTTTTTATTTTAGCTTTAATTTTAAGCTAATAGATTTAAATTTTATATTTCCAATAAACAAAATAATTTAATTGATTGGAATGAGCTTTGTTATTAGAAAAAAATGCCAAAATTGCCAAATATTGACGAATCTGTCAACATAACAATTCTCTTTATTAAAAAATAAAACATTTTTCAGAAATTTTATTTTAAGATCAACTGATGTAAAGTCTAGTTAATCTGATTTGAAACAAATATGAGGGAAAGTCAAAAATTATCTGCACTCTTATATAAATATACTATGGCGAAAGTGCAGATAATTTTTGACTTTCCCTCATATTATTTTTAGTTTAAAATATCGCAGAAAAACAATTTGCCAACAGTAACATGGAGGTGAGCATTTTTATGAGGTGTTGAAAACTCTTGAAAAACTTGTTTTTCTAAGGTCATAACTGTAATAATTAATTGAATAATGTGAACGCCTTTTTATATAAAATGTTTGCGATCATTTCAATCAAAATTAAAGTGAAAAAAAAAAAAAACGGAATAACAATCATCCATCCAACAAATTTGCTTTCTTTAATCTTCAGTAATTACAGCCTAAAAACCGAAAACTAAATTAATTACAAAAAAGTTTAATTAAATCATTTATTTCAAATCCTAAGAAAATTGTAAAATCCCTGAAAAATATTTTTTTTTGATAAGGCACAAAAACAAGTAATAAATGTCTTTAAAAAATAATCAGAATTTTCAAAAAGTTTCAAGAAGCAGAAAAGCACCTAAATTAATTAGATACCTTTTCTTATGAAATTTAATCTGTCTTATTTTTTAATTTCTTTATATTTTCCATAAATCATTGTAAACATAAAGGTGAAAGCTAAGTACAAAAATAAAAAAATTTAGAGCGCTGAAAGTTTTCCTTAAAAATAATGAGGTAAATAATTTGTTCACTTAAATAACTTCACTTCTCTCCATCTGTAGAAAGAATTATCCTCACGTTAAGCTATGTCATGAAAATGTCTTTCGTCACCTGTCAAGTGATGCGAAAGGTTATGACCGGCTTTGTTTTATTTTCAAATTACATCTTTTCAGCAGAAGCTAAGTTAAACTTGGTTCAAAATATTTTAAATAAACATTATAATTTCCGATTTTCTTAAAATAAGTTTGAAAAAAATGATAATTGATTTTTAAAGGAATTTCAAACTGAGATTTTCATTTTTATTTATAAAATGGAAAAAAAGGGTTGCCATGATTATCTGCCAAATTTGATGACAAAAAAAAACAAAAAAAAACCAAGATTTTTAACGAAAATTTTGGACGTGTTAGGAACGATTTAAAAATGTAAAAAAAATACCCCAAAAATACTTTGATCTTTCCTGAACAATTTTAGACGATAAAATTTCGTCAAGTTTAGCGTCTTTTTCGTCATGCTATGTTCTTTTTTAGCGATCTCATGGATTGACCTAACCTAGCTCAATTGGTAAGAGAGGTTTTGTTTGCAGTAAAACCAGACAAGATAACTGAAAAATGCAAATGGTCAGTGACGGACAAAAAAAAAAAAAAAAAAAAAAAAAAAAGAAGGAGGATTCGCACAAAGACTTTGGAAATCTTAACAACTTTAAAAATAAAAATCCCAGTTTAAAAATAAACTCTTCATACCAAAAGTTAAGCATACAAACCTCACTCATCAACAATTTAAAATAAATGAATTAATTGTAGTTTCGTAAGTTTCTTTAAATTTTTAACAACAATAACGTATTTTTATCATTTTTCAATTAAATGACAGGCTGTACAACAGGCGTTAACAAATCATCAAATGAGTGTACTAACTAAAAACTTAAAAAGTTATGTTATCGACATTCAAAAATTATATTATTTTTTTTTTTATTTGATTCTTTATGCAGAAAAAAAATCTTTGTCTATTGTATTGATTGATCAGTAGAATGAGAAATTGGGGAAAAATGATTTTCCAAGTGATGCGACAAGTATACCTGCGGTGAGCCCAGACAAAGTAGTATATTATTTATTTCAAATAATTCATCTAGTAATAATAACCTTTCAAACTAGAAATTTAAAACCTGTCATTTAATTTGTAAGAGTGTGTGAGTGTGTGTGTGTGTGTAATTTAAAATTTAAACAAAATCTTACAAAAAAATTGGATATAAAAATTTGCTGTTGGTTTCGGTTGTCATGGTAAACAAAAAAAAAAAAAAAAGCAAACAATTATTTGAGAAAATATGAACCTAAAATAAATAAAAATAAAAATGTAATATAATTTTATAAAAATCGTTTTAAAAAAGCAATTTGAAAATATGGCAGCACACCCAGATTATCCATGCGACCAATTTCTTGGCTATATAAAAAGTCAGCTTCCGAGTTGAGAATTAAACAAAAAAATTTAACGCATGAAATGGTATAGTTGAAAATTATGCAAGAGCAAGCATATGATTAATGAAAAATGGATTTAAAATTAACGAAAAAAATGTATCAAAGATTCTTTGGAGTGGGAAACAAAGAAAAGACCGAATACAACTTTTTTACAGCGTTTATGAACTAAAACAATTAAAAAGGACAGTAAAAATATTTGTTATTGATGTATTTATTTAATAAGAAATCTTTTAGAATTTACAAAAAGAAAAAAAGAAAAACAAAGAATAGACTGAGATCTGTGATGTATCGCTTATTTACATACATTTTCAGAACAATTTGTCCCGATAACCTTGAACTCTCCTCATCTTCGCCATCACACCCAAACAAGATGTTTTTGTTTTGTACGAACACGTACATTTTAAAAAAGGTATTTGTTACCAAACACACTAAAAATAAATCTTCCCAGTAATAACAAAATTTAATATCGCCACAAGTCATTTTTTTCGTTTCTCTAAAAATTAATTTCTCAAACCTCGCTAATATACCAGCTTTGCTTTTTTAGTAACACTAACTAAACAGCTTTCTAAATCATGGATTGCTGCTACTTAGCATACATATTTTTTTTTACGAAACAAGAAAAAAAAGACAAGATTTATCTCTCAAAATTTAACCCACAAATTTTTAAAAAAAGGACCTTGATTGAAATTTTAACGATTACAGTAAATTAAATAAATTCTACAGCTGATACTGGTACAACAATGAAGAAACTAAGGGACACATCTGAAGACGGTCGGGTAAACTGCTTGCTTTATCATTTAAGTGTCTAAAATAATAAATAAATACACCGCAAATATTAAAATGTCGTACACACAAGTGCAGGAACTTTACACGACTGTATAGTAGCACGGACTAACAAGCTCTAAAAATTAACAATGAATAGTTCATACTAAAATGTGAGCAGTAAGTAAAACATATACACACCACACGCAATCATATGAGGATCATTTATGCACAAAACAGTCACTAAAACAGATGCTAAAAAAAAAAAATTAAAAAAAAAAATCACAAACTACACATACATGGCAATCGCAACGGATAAAATGAGTTAATTTTAAATTTAAAAATAATTTCATCACAGGGAAACAAAAAAAATGACAGTTTTTAATTTTAAATCAAGTGACTCGTTCGTTCGCTCTCTTTCTCTCACACAACGCCAAAGAAACAAAATAGGCGAGGTTTTGTTGTAAGTATGATCAAACAGGATAAGTATTCTTTAAACTAACAGTAACACACAAAGTAAAAAAAAAAACGAAAAAAAAGAAATTGTCTATTGGACACTGGTATCTCGATTTCTTTACCACTTACGTACCTGTACAAATACTGTTGTTCTCTGTCATTTTTGTAGATGCCACGTAACTTTTAGTTTTAACTGTCTGTTGTATGTTCTCGTCTATTAATGCTTACGTCGGATTGTAAATAAAATACAATACTACTGCTAAGATAAGTTCGGTGTAGGAGGAGTAACAACAATAACTCGAAATCGTCAGCGTCAACTGCAGCTACTAACAATCGTTAAACGCCAACTTAAATAATCTGTATCCTCCGCCACTGATTGGTCAATTTCTTGGTCTCCGATTGGTCAATGTCACCAAATTGTGTGCCCTCTACTGGCTCAAATCTGTATAAAGGGCAGGTTATTAATTTTACACCTGCTTCAATTTTTTTTTTTTTTTAGTAATTTGGTTGGTTGGTTGGTTGGTTGGTTGGTTATAAATTTATCAGAACATTTTCTATGCAAAAGTTATTTGTTTTTGTATTAATAGTCTACAAAATTAGAGATATACGACTATCTTTGCATGGGTGTTTGTGAAGTTTTTATCACAAAAACCTTGAGTTATCAGCTCATCTCAGTTTGTAAAACAGAACAATGGTAACTAAACCAGAAACCTAGTGTTATAAAATAAAATAAGTCATATCTCGGCTGATTTACAGGCAAATACTCAAGAGCGAGAACCGGATGTAAACGGGACAAAGCCCCGTCACAAAATGACCATTATCTTTCTTTACAAATGTTCCCGACACACGTGTTCCGGTCGAAAAATAAAATAATATTTAAAGTGCTCTATTTTCCGTCCAATAAAAATGCTTCCAACCTAATTATACTCGCTTCCTTTCTCGAGCCTGCTAAGCCATAAAAAAACGCTATAAAAGGGGTCACACGGATGTTCAACAGGAAGTCCACAGGTGGCCAGGGAACTGACCTGTTACGGTAAGCAGCTGTCAGCAAGGGAGCGTCAACCACCGTCAACATGTGTGAACTACTATGAGAGATTGACCTAGATCCGAAGCCGGCTTATGAACTTTACCACAATGTAGCTGTCCCAAACCCAAACGTTCCTGTTGAAATAAACCACGTAAATCTATTTCTGCTGTTGTCGTATTTCTTTCTTGCAACCATACGCTTGTCTATAACACTGGTGTCAGAAGCGTACAGCAAGAGAAATATGGCCGACTACACGAGCTTCACCCGAGCCGAACTATTTACTCTCATCAAGGAACAGAAAACACTACTATTCAACTTGAAAACGGGACCAACACAGCCTTCCGAAGCCACGATACAGGAAATTCAAGCCGACATAAACGACATGCTGACTACACTAAAATCAACTACTTCAACACCTCCCACCGCTCAAACAAATGGCGATTACAGCTTAATGATGCGCCAACAAACTATATGCGACATATTGAAGCTAGAGAGAACTTTTCACCCTGGACACGACGTGAACCGATTCATCACGGCCCTAAACAAAGCATACACAATCCACGTCACGCTAGAACTCAGCACCTATCCCAGCCTGGAATGCGAATTCGTCAAGTCTGCGAAAGATTTACTGGACCAAAGTATCTTTCAGCAGATGGTTGACTCAAAAAAGGACATATCCACCTTCTAACAACTGAAGGAATACTTATTAGCATCCCACGGAAGCCAGATGACTAATTTCCAACACCTCAGTCAAGCCTGGGATCTGGAACGGCGAGACGGCGAAAAATTAACAGACTTCGCGGGTCGACTCGAAAACACCCTTAAAGAGGCAGCCGTCCATATAAAAAACAAATACAAAAAAGACAAAAATACTGACTTAACAGTCGATGGACTTATTTCCATCATCGGCGCTATGCTAATGAGCGAAAAGGTGAAAATTTGGAACTCAAATCTTTACCCACATCTCGTCAAGACAATGGACAACCACTATTCAGCCATTGGCATAGCCTCCGAATCTCAAATATACCTTGATCGCGGTGTAAAATCCAACGACACGACTTCGCACAACACTGTGTATTTCCCACAGAACCCACAGCGGTCAAACCAAAGAAACGCGCCACTCCGACCCAGCAGGCAACCAAACCCACAGCAGACGGGTCTCACCAACCCTCCCGAACATGGCCACCATCCGACACGCAGAAAGCATCAGCACACACCACGAATCAGCGTGTGCAAGAACTACCTCAGAGGTCGCCCCTGCCACCATGGAAGCAACTGTCTATATCGCCACCCACCTCGCACTCGGGCAGAGGCCCATATCGCCGCAACGAATGATAATATACAAGCCATAAATGATGTGGAACAGGATTTTCGCCTCGGGCAGGACGAGATGTAATGCCTCGTTCGCCTTGCCCCTACGTCAGCCATCACACCTTCAACTTTCAAGGACTCGCTCACCATTCACCGCTCGTCCAGTCCACCTTCAACCTCAGGGACATCACCTTCAATTCCAGCAGCAATCATATCACCGTCATCGTCAACGAACGATCCGGCATATGGCTCCCAAGCTGACATCATCCAAATCCAGCCTACTATGGAATTACAGCCCAACAGCCAGACACTGGATCAAAAGCTAACCTGGCTAAAGCATAACACGGGGCTATCGCTACCAAACCACCCGAACCGAGACGAACTAGAGGCCACTGCAAACTTACTCATTCGCTACGCTGACATTATCGGCACAGAAAGCAGCAGCAAAGGCACATTCATTCGACCCATCCGCATACCAACCAACGGCCAGTCTCGCAGCCAGAAACAACACCCGATAGCCCAGGCTTTGGAAGCAGACGTAGATACCGAAATTAAGCGTATGGCTGATGAAGGTATCATTGAAAACTGCAGCGACCCCAAAGGCTTCAATAGCCCTGTATTTGCCGTACGCAAGAAAAACGGATCGATTCGTGTCGTTGCTAACTTTAAAAGAACTCTCAACAAGGTCTTAGTCGATATTAACCCTTACACAATGCCAAGGATCGACCACTTGTTCAACAAAATCGGCAAAGGCAATAGATATTTTACTACCCTCGATATACGCAGCATCCCAATAAATGTTCCTTCCTCGCATCAAAGGCAAAATTCCTCGGACGCATAGCGAAGGATTCAAGGCTGATCCAGAATACGTTCGTGTCATCAGGGAAATGAAACCTCCAACATCAAAGAAGGAATTACAAAGCCTTATCGGCCGTTTAGTGTGGATCAGACAATTCCTAGATACACGTCTTCACGAACAAATCAGGTCAGATATGTTTTCAAAACTTATGGGTCCCATACACGAACTCAACAAGGTTAATAAACCGTTTGTCTGGACGCAAAATGCCGACAGAGCCTTCAAAAAAATCAAGGACCGTCTCTCTTCACCACCCGTCATCTCGTTTCCAAACTTTTTACACTCACCACCGACGCCAGCGACGTCGCATGTGCAGCAATCTTAATGCAAGAAGCCGACAACGGGAAGAAAGATATCATAGCGGTCGCTTCCCATACATTCAACTCCACGGAACAGAACTGGTCCACGACGGAAAGAGAGGCATATGCAATAAAGTGGGCAATATTGAAATTTGATTATTTCCTTCGCAACCGCCCCTTCGTCATCTTCACCGACCACAGATCGCTGACATATCTGGACCAACGACAGTTCAATAATGCCAAAATACGACGATGGCAAGAAGAAATTTCATGTTATAAATTTGTCTTGGAATATGTTGAAGGCGAATCAAATGTATGGGCTGACATGCTCAGCAGAGGTTGCGGACATAAGAAAACGAAAGCCCCAAACGACCCTACACCGGCAGGCAGGACATTCGAGGTAAGCGGTTCAGACCTCCGCGTATACATCCCATCTTGGTGCCTCGGCGAGTTTAACGGTTTACAGCTCATTCCCAAAACTCACACACCACAAAACGCCCGCACCCACAAGCGCGTCACCAACGCATTCTTCGCCTACCACTCCACCACCACCATCCCCACTGAGAGAATCTGCAACCACCTCGGCATCGCAGATGAACAACTGAAGGACGACGCCCTGGCAAAGATCATCAGCGCCCTCCAGTCACCCACTCCAAGCGAACCTCATATCGATCCTGACGACCACCGAGCTACGCTTTTCAAAAAACATTTGCACCAATTTTTTCTAGAACCAGGTACCTCCGTTTTGATGATAAGAAACAGTAAACACTCTCCGAGATTGGTTGTACCATACAAACTACGACCCAGATACCTCTACCAGGCACACGAGGGCAACAACCACTCAGGTGTTACCCGTATGCGAGAACTCCTTTCCAGCTACTGGTGGGAATTCAAAAACCGCGACATCAAGGCCTATGTCGATTCTAACGACACGTGTGCTAAAAGTGCAAGGGAAACTACGGTAGACGTACCTACGATACACCTAATTTACATAAGTGGAGTACCGACCATATAAATATGGGTTGGTACCGGAAGACGGGGAAAGATAGTTAGAAGAAGAGATCGAATCCAGAGACTCTGCCCGACTGCGATTTAGTCAACCCATTCTGCAGGAACAGTCTTCCCAAGAATATACCAAAACTAACTGTAAATATTGTGTACCTTTTCCTTGTTTCAATACATTTTGTTAACGTACATTTTGTGTTGTATTATTATTATTCCATGCTTATCCAAGTTTCAACAATGGCGACGAGGTATAAAGAACTTTACGTTACGGAAAAAAAAAAAAAGAATTAATAATTGATAGCCTTCAACAATTGGGACAAGTGGAAGAACCCAGGCTGAAGAAAAAAAAAAATCATTAATTAAAAGTCGAACATCTAATGGAACGGAAAAGTATTCTGAAGTTTGGACAGTTAAAACTAGTTAAAGGACGACTAAGCTTAAAGGAACGTTCACTCAGAAAAATCTGGAAGGTGGCGTAAACAAATAACGGCGAAAAAAAAAAAAAAAAAAAAAAAAAAAAACTAAAAAAAAAAAAAAAAAAAAAAAAAAAAAAAAAAGCTGGCCGAAAAAAAAAAAAAACATGCATGGAATTAAAAGGAGCACAAATACAACGTGTCGACTTTGAAAGGTAAGCGAACTTGTAAAAAAAAAAAAAAATTTTTT